ATACACTTTGTTTTGGTCAATCTGTCTTAAATGCAATTGCACAGTATGAGAAAAAGAAAGTTCAGACCCAGATGTGTCATGCAATTTGGTACACGAATATCGATGCCGATTAAACTGATTCTGGTTCTCACCCACTGTTGTTTCGGCACCCCTTTTCAACTGGCAGGAGTGGTGGGTGACGGCAGTCACTGTGGGAAGTGTTGGGTGATTGCGACGACGAATGGATAATGAAATGCATCTATCATATTTACTCGAGTGTAGTTTAACCGTTGTGCTAAACAACTCGCAAAGAATAATAAAAAAAATATTTCAAGAAAAAAAAAAAAGTAGGCAAGAAGGATATTTGTGCAAGCGTTTACTTCACAGCATAGTTGTCTATCACACTTGTCACATCACCCTCCAAACTCCCAGAATGGTCAACGACCTGTCTCTCCCATTAACTTCACCACTTTACACCAGTGGCCTTGCATCAAGCTACTTTCTCTGCTCTGTAGTGACATACTGGGGTAAAGCAGCTGATTTGGAGAAGCATCTGGGTTTGCTCACTGGGGTCGGAAATGTTCCTGAGTATCATACCTTCACTTAACAGTATGGATCTGCACCTTATTTCTAATAACATTGCTGAAAAAATGTTTATTTTTATTGGAACAAACACAGTAGTATATATCTAACATGAAATAGATTTTGTTGTCTTTTTCATATAAAGAAGAAATATTACACAAAAGCATGTTGTTCCTCTCCTGTAAATCACCAGTTGTATTATTATTGTAATTTATCATACATATGTCTTTATCAGGCAGTCTCTCATTATATAGGTTCTTATTATTGCTGGATATACTTGCCGTAAAATACCGAGGAAACGCCCACCCGACTTTCACTGAAAAATTGGTTAGTTAGACGTGTGCGCTTGTCTGGTTCAAGCAGTAAAAACCAAGATGGCAGCAGCGTGCACGAGGAGTGAGGAAACTGCGGCAGCGTGCACACTTTATCAAGATCTGTCTCACAAAAGCCCTGGGACCTCTGGTTTGGTTTCCAAGAACTGTTCATTGTCACATCGCATTATCTTCACCCCCATCGGTCCTGACATGGCTACATCTGGGCTGGTGACCTCCATCATTGTAGGGACCTCTCACTGTACCCAAGTGTCCTAGACAATACAGTTAATTGTTTCCCCTGCCCAAGAAGTCTTTCCTTTTTCATTGCAAGGAAGCAGATATCCCTGTCATCCCCGCTGGTGTTCTCATAGTTGCCACAGTGTGGTGAATATTTGCGGCGCTTTGGAGGTGGTGGGTGCTTAACATATGATCAGAATGTTGAAGTTTTGGAAATGTTAATAGTGGGCACTTGTCCGAAAGTGGGTGCTTCCCCGGTATTTTATGCTATGTGCCCATTTCAAAGCAATATTTATTATGCACAGATTTAACAATTGTTGTTCGTACATCATACATACTGTTCATTCCTTGAGTTTGAAGTAGCCTGTCCCAGAATATGGGAACAAGTTCTTTATTTCATAAAATAAACATTGAGTAACCTACTTTCGGAAATCTGTTGCTGTACACGTTGCATTCTGGGAACCTGCGGGCCAGGAGCAGATCACATATAGGTTTTGCTGCCCACCGATTCCCACAATGCATAACGTGGCATTACGCCTCGATGAGGCGCTTCGAGTTTTGGAATAAGTTTATCGAATTTTGTTCCTTTCCTGTTTAACGAAAGAAAGTTCTATTGCTTAGCCTGACTGATGAGCAAGGGCTTTGGGGACCCTAAAATTATTCTCACGGGTTCCATTTGAGGAACGCTGCGTTAACCGATCTGTTAAACTGGAATGCCCACACCTTTGTCTAGCTCGAACTTTGCGGCAGATCAGGGAGGACGTTTTTACTAAAGCTGCGACCGATTGATTGCTTTGTGTGCAGGGTTTGCCACAATGGCCCGACGCCGTAAGCTCACCCATTTTCTTATTCCTTTGCTCCCTCGCTCGTTCAGAACAGCGAGTACGTTTGACGCGGATGCTCGGGCTCATCATGGGGAGTGTGACCTATTGGGCTGGCGTATCACCCCATCTCAAGCGGCGACCTTGTCTCCGTCTAATCTCCGGGGTTGTTTGGATGGAAGACTGAATGCGTACTTGACGCTAGATCTGAATTATTTGATTGGGGTCAGTGGTCAAGAGAGTGCTTAAGCGAGTTTGCACCACTTTTTATTGACACAGTAAGACTTTTCAGTCAAAGCCTGTCATGATCGAGACATCTCCTTCAGTCGGGCCAGCCCAGCACTGTTGAGGCATATACGGGAGGACACTACCCAAAAGGGTCAACTTTTGAACCCTCGGCTTACTATGAATGAAATTTACAGTATATACCGGCAGTCGTGAGGCAGAATGAAGTGCACAAAGTTTCATCTGTGTACATGAATTGTGAAATAGATTATGGTCGTTTATATCAGGAACACATGGACATTGTTTAGGAAAGCTATCTTTGGAAAACTAATGCAATATCCCACATTTTTCTTCACTAGATACGCAGCAGAATGCCTGGAGAGTAGGACTGTAAAAACAAAATTTCTAAAGAGGAATTTATTTTATGCCAATATCGTGCTGAAAAATAGCAGAATGCCTGGAGAGTACGACTGTAAAAACAAAATTTCCAAAGGGGAATTTATTGTATGCCAATATCGTGCTGAAAAATCGATAAAAACATGTTGCCTTTATGTCGTTGACAAAATTTTAACAGCATTCGTAAAAGAAATCCACAAAGTAAGAAAAACAATGCCACAGTTGAATTGCCACAGTTAGGAAAAACCGTAAGTGAGCCTTTCCTTTTGTCTCGCTACCAAACAATAGTTTTCCTAAAGTGAAAATGATGTCAAAAAGTGGAACGGAAAGGAGTGCATTCAAAGAGCTCGGGCCTCTACCTTTTCTTTAGCATCGGTGGACCGAAAATAATTGATAAGAAAATAACTATGCAGTGTAAACAAGTTAATCTTCTGGGAACACATTCTAGATGTTGGTAGATACATTCGCCGACCGATCTTTCGGACTCGGAGGGGGACTCCGAAATTGTCCGAATAATCAAGCTGTCCGAAAAATCGATTTCAGCCAAAAAATTAAATTTCCAACCATATTTTGCTACATATTGGCCACTTTCCACTTGCTTGATGTCAATTTTAAGTTCTCATGCAACTTGCGCTTTATGTTGTTCATTTTTACTTGTTTGTTGATCTGTTTGATCGTGGTGCTGCACTTTGTCGGTGCCTTCGTTGCACAAACAGCTGAGTTGAAGTTGGCGCCATTTGCCACTATTTGTAGACAACGTTTGCAGTAGTCCACCAAGTTCACTTCAATACCAAGCCTATTGGCAAAAAATCTTCGCGCTCAAAGACCACAAGAACGGCAGGCGGCCGCTCTTCACGTGGTTGCTCTGGAAAACACAGACCATGTGAACCACTGGAAGAGCCATAAGAATGGGTAGACGGCAGCCATGTGTGCTATAGAGGAACCGTGAAACCCGACTATAGCCTCAAACCAAGTTGATTATTGCGTAGGACGTGGTATCGAGGCTACAGGGCAAAATCAAAACAAGCAAAATGGCAGTGACTAAGTTGGCGGCACTATCGCGGTGACTGTTTTGTGGCTGTAAGCTGAGGAAATCACACAAATTATATCCGAAACATTGAGCAATAAGCTTTATGGCGTCTGAAATTTTGGTCAATGTTATAAATTAACTCTATGGAGTGAGTGACGGTTCGGTGAAAACGTCCGAATAATCGGACGTGTCCAAAAAATCGGTCGGCGAGTGTATAAGTATATGGCATTTTTCAAAATCCACTTTTTTTGCAGCAATCTTTTTTTTCTTCTGGGTAGTGCCCCGCCTTTTGAAGTATTATGCTCCAGCGAAATCGTGATAGTTACGGATTTGCCTCAAAATCGGTTCAACAGATCAATGTACACATCTGAACAAGTAACCCAAATTACAAATCACAATAATATTTTTTTCGGTTAGTTATTAAAGTTTCAAATTTGATCTGAGAAGCCGAGAAACTCTCCTGACAACACTGAAAACATGATGTCAAATGTTATAATAGAGGGGCAGTGCAGCTTGATCCTAACGGCTGAGTTTTATGGTGTGCAAACGAGAAACAAAAAAAGGTGCAAAATACCATGTTTCTGAGACTGCCTGCTCAACTTCCAGGTTGTACAGCATGTGACGTCGCCCCGCCGGAAAGCTCAAGAAAATTTTAACGTTATCGTTTTGGCATAACTTTCATTTGCTCTTTTCTCGATAGCTATTTCGAATTTAGAGATAATGGATGGCACACCGGGAAAAGTAAAGCCTGGGTGTTCCGAAAATGCCTCTTTAGTTTCTTGTAGCTAAAACAAAAAAAAAGAATTCCAAAGCTCTTTTTTAATGGAAAAATTTCTAATTCCTAAGTTCCCAAAGTTGTGCAGTCCAGACACAGAACAGTCAGTGTTCACATTCGAAATGCTTCCCCACATACTGCAAATGAGAATTATTAAAACTGTTGAATGATGCTAATTAGAAGAACAATAGCCACAGAAAGGCCAGTAACCCAAACCTCAAAGGCTTACTGCACCGTAGGCTGCATGGTATGCTGTGAGAACTGCAACGAGCGATTTTCCTTCCATGCGAGCATAGTTTATTCGTCTGGTTTTCGTAACTTGGCTAGCTCCGATCATTATATCAAATGTTTCCTGATGCATTTCGACTGCATTCTTTGAGCAGCCAAGTGGTGGAACTAGTTTCATACAAGTTTGCTGTGTCTGCAACGGCTCTTGTGGCTGTGAGCGAAATGACTTGAACTAAGTGCCACAATATCCTCCAAGGTTGCTTTTTTTCTCTTTTTGTTTTGTACAACACTTTTATTGTCGTTTTACAACCTGAGGCAGGTGTCTAAAACCTACAATGCTTGAAGCTTTGTCATAACGGGCAACGCGATAGATAGGCTCTGAACCTTGCTTTCTATCTTTCTCTCTTCCTCAGGTCACGATAGACCGCCACCCCGTCCGCTTCTTTGTCCACAAGAGGCCGCACGTCGACTACTTCCTGGATATAGTGAGTCAACTCTGTTTATGCCATTCCACTCAAAGCATCACTGGGAACTTGACCCTTGTTTCGCATTGGCAGTCGGCTTTGCTTTTCATTTTAGGACAAAGATAATAAGAGCCTAGACTAAAATGCTTCTGCAATGATCTTTTATGAAGCACTACTGACAGGGAAAACCTGCACTACTGACAGGAAAACCTGTCTTACTAAAGCCATTGACAGCAAGATAAGAACAATAGGGACGTCCTTTATTTTTTTTTTTTGCCTCCAGCGCAAACTTCCTACCTTCTATATAAGGTTCTGGCCTTATCGAAGGTGGGCCTCATCAAAGTTAGGTCTGCCTTCAATGAGGTAGGCCTATGAAGGTAGGTTCTGAAAGGCAGCAGGCACGTGCTGGAGGCCGGGCACTCCAAAAAGGCGCCAGGTCACTTACCGCGTCAGCAACCATAGTCAGCCATACATCCTCCTTGATAGTAGCGACACGAGGGGCGTCGATGCGCGAGAACCTCGTTGTATTCTGAATTTTTCTCGGTCAACCTACAATTGGTTCGTGTTTACACATCGTAATTCTGGCCGGCGGTTCTGTGGCGCAGGTGAGCCAGTGGTACGACCTGGTGGTGTTTACGGCCAGCATGGAAATCTACGGGGCAGCTGTGGCCGACAAGCTGGACAATAACCGGGGCATCCTCAGGAAGCGCTACTACCGACAGGTGAGGACACCGGGACCGGCTGTCGGCGTGCGACTTGCCTGAAAAGGGTCTGGAAAAGTCACGGGGGCGGAGGGGATTTGGTGATTGAACGTGGTAATGCGTCGCAGCCTGTGCCGGATTAAGGTATGGGCTAAAGGGGCTGCAATCCCAGGCTCGAGGCTGTCAGGGGGACCCCGTACCGGCCCCTAAAAATTAGAAAGGAAAAAAAAAAAAGAGCTTGTTTGTTTCAAACTAAAAGGAGGAAGAAAAAAAAAATTTTTGAGGAACCTTTAATTTCCTAGCTATGTTCTCATTCGTATATTTTTTTTTGTTTCAACAGGGAAGGGGGAATGTCGTAAAGTTCCCTTCTCTAGATGGGCTTGCGTTTGTGAACTCGTTGCAGAAAACCGCTAGAGCTGGGGTGGCCAGGCTGACCCGGCCTAAGAACCGCAAACAAAACCACGAAACTGCCAAGAGCCACAGGGGGGGTGGGGGGGACAAACTTTGCCCAGAGCAATGAATGAAACTCCAACTACTTTCCATCTATCCAAGTCAAAAGCAGTCCAACTGTACATAGGGTAGCAGTAGCACATGACTACCAAACCGCTACCTGTCTTTCGATTTGAAATGCATTGCATTTTTCTTTTCGGGAAGTGCTCGTGTGACCGAGAGGGGGGCGGGGGAGGGTAGAGGGAGTTGCAAGCCGCACTTTAACACGCGAGGAGCCGCATGCAACTCGCGAGCTGCAGCTTGGCCACCCCTGCACTAGAGCAACAAAATGTAAGCGTGGCCTCCCACCCTCCTCGTTGCAAGGAGCAAAGTCGTCGATGTTGGCGGTCCCATTGAAGCTTCCCATTGAAGCTTCTAATTGAGACTGTACGGAAGGATGGCCACGGAGTTCTTTTTTGTACTGGGGCCCCCTCGACGAATTTCATGAACAACGGTGGGTCAGAAGTTCAGCAAGTGTTGCCAAAAGCTGCACAAGAAACACGCATTGTACATGCCACTTTTTTAAAAAAGTTTTATCTCTTAAAAGGGTTTTGTGGGGAATGTTTCCTCTTAGAAAAAAAATGTAATAAATTAAAAAATCCGTAAAAATGTAATTTTTCTGAAATGACAATTGTGAAGCCTTTGTGGTCCAGAGTATACACTGGACCACAAAGAATTCAGTAAATATAAATACTGAATTCGGTCTCTAATTATAAAAAAAAAAAAAAAGCAATTCGGTAAGCATTAAAGAGCCCAACCACGGAACCGACTGGCGCCATCTTGGTCTTGCTTGAAAGCTGGTTTCCCGTGCTTGGTTTCGACCTGCTTGGAACTGGCATCCGCATCAGGGCGGCGACGTCGTCTACCGTGTGCTTTTCTCTCCAGCTCCAGAGACGCTGATAGTTCGAAGCGCACGCTCGTCATCGTCGTCATCCATTTGTACAATAACATTTCATCATCATTAGAAGCGGCACTGCAGGCCTTCAAGGTATGGGCGATTCGCCTTTCTGCGGTGCCACGGTTCTCCTGAGCTAAAATAAATATATCATATATTATATCATATATCCTCTGAAAAGCCGCTCTCCAGTTGGCCTTGGCGTGTGCCTCCTCTCCTGGCTTCCTCAGCCTGCCCGTTCACCTGCTGTACGTCGTCTGCTTTCATTCGCTACACCATTCGAGAGACACACGCTGTCCTTGCTCTTTTTTAGTTCCATTAATGATATTGCTTTCATTTGCTTTTTACTTTTTAGTGTTTTTCATGTCCCCTGGTTTTCATCTAATCAAAATGTGAATATTTTGGTCCCTGACTCGCTTTTCTTTTTAGCTTTTCATTTTTGTGTGCTTTTACCCGCTTTGCGTCATTGTTCTATTTCGTTTTGCTCATTTTGGTGGCAGGGGACACCCGTTTAAAAATGAGCACGTGGATAGTGCACTGTGCTTGGATAAGAAGAGAACCGCGTCATTGAAAACGACAGTGTCAACTTCGGTAGCACCACAAGTCGTTTTACTGCTTGGGAGCATGGCTGCATGAACAACTTCAGCAACGCTGCAAGGCACTTCATCGACGCCGCAAGGCACTTCACCACTTGTGGACGGGGCCAGACCAAGCTCGAGTGCCGATCGCATTTGTAAACGCAAAGAATCTGCAGAGGACACAAAATCTTTGTTGGTGGAGAAGTTGGCGACTTCTTGAAAGTTAGAGCTCCTCGACGTCAGCTTGGGAAGCGAAGACAACAAGCGCGGCGCAGAGTATGTCGTCGTGGACATGAAAGTGCTGCAGAAGCTCTTTGCGTCCACAACGTGCAGCAAGTGCGGGATGGCCACTGTTGAACTTTCTAAGTGTGACGAGAGGTAGTTCGGCCTAGCGGTGAAGCTAGTGCTCACATACTCAAGCTGCGATATCACCGAGCGCCTCTTTTTGTCGCCACAATTCACTGGAGCAACCAAGATCATGCCCTTTGAGATCAACTCGAGAGCAATAAAGGGGATCCAGAGCGTAGGAAAGGGAGCAACTGCCCTCGTGGACTTCTGTGCCATTCCGAACCTCTCCCACTGGGCGCTTCACCACAAGACCTTCGGGGGAGACATGGACACCATGGTGCAAGCTTGCCAGGTAGCAGCAAAAGCCACAGAAGCAGCAAGTGTGCAGGGGGTGAAGGACCTGTACCAGAACTTCCTCAATCCCGTTGGAAACGTGGATATCATTTTTGATGCGATGAGGAAGATTCCTAGGCACAACTCGAACATTGCAGTGAGGTGCACACTCGAGCTGTACTCTGGCCTGGTGCTGGACCACGTTGTCCTCTCCAGGTACTGCTGTGGCTGCCAGGGGGCACTTTACCCAGATGACGACGTGTATGGCGACTGGGCTTTGAACCACAGGTGCCTCAAGAACATCGACTACAACGCTGAACAAATGTAGGCCGAGGCAGCCCTGATCCTGTTCAAGACGTCCCTGGAGAAGAATGGCCTGCGTACATGAGCATTCTTTTTGATGGAGACAGCCGCACCTGCCATGCTCTGACGCAGAGGGTATTTATGTCTGCCATGACATCGAGAAGGAGGGCTGCCTGAGCTATGTGCACAAGCGGATAGGGGCAGCTTTGTGCACCTTGGTAGAAAAGAAGGCACAAGGGGAGCCTTTTGGAGGAAAAGGAAAGCTGACTCAGGACAGGATTAAAAAATTCTCAAACTACTATGGATACGCATAGAGGACCCACAGGTCCTAGGGATGGAAAAGGCGGTGCAGGCAGCTTTGTTGCACATAATGTCGACAGACAAAGTCCCGGACCACAGTGACTCTCCAGACAAGAACAATTTCTAATGCTCCTACAAATGTGCACTGGCCAACCACGTGGAGCGACCAGCACACAAGGGCCCTCTACCAGGCTTCATTCACACAGCACTGGAGCCGGTCTTTCAGAGGCAATCAGGCCCTCCTGGAGCTCTGCAGTGAGGGCATGACACAGGACGCCATTGAGAGCCTACATTCGGTGATCTGGGGCCAAAACTTCGAGAGCATACATGACTCTGCCGGCTGTGGAAAGGGCTGTCGCTGAGGCAGTGCCTCGCTTCAACTGGTGCATGGAAAAGACCAGCAAGGCAGTAGCAGAGCAGATCGGCTACAGCACTGGGAGCTGTCTGACACGTTGGAGCCTCGAGAAGGACAAGCAGAGGTTCCGCTAGTCCGACAAAGCTCGCACGGAGAGTGAGGGGGTGAAGAAGAAGATGGCCAAGAGGCACACGCCCGACAGGACTCGAGACTACTTCCCAGGAGTCATGTGGACCTACACTCACCACCGAAAAACTCTGACGTGATTTTCTGTACTTTTCTTTTATCCAGTTGCCATTGTTTTATGAACTCAGTAGTAAAAGTTCTAACAAAAAAAACTTCAAATGCGATTTCCCCAGCTTTGTCTTTTTTTTATAAGCAGCCATTGCCTTACGGATGTTTTGATAATGTTTGCATAAGTGAATAGCAGTGAAGTTGGTATTATTCTTCTCGGCAACAACTGATTTGGATCTTAAAGCTTTTGTTTTTGTCATAGACGCTGAAATGTTTACCAATTATGGGCAGATTTTGTGTGCTTTCAGATTTGTGATTTATTCATAGTAAAATCTGATCCTTAAAAATTCTATTAGTACAATATAAGTTGGGCTAATTGGTGTAGCATTGTGAAAGGGCAAAATGCAGTGGGAAAAACAATGCAGTCAGAGAAGGTGTACGCACACAAAGTGCTGACTTTTAGGCTGTATGATAGACCCTTGCAACTTGCTGCACATTGAAAAAAAAAAAATGTGTTTAATGAAAATTAATAATAATAATAATAATAATCTTTAATTCAAAACAAGTCGTACAAAAATAAAAAGACTGGCCCACGAAAGCAGCATTCTGCTTGTATGTGGGGCTAGGCGACCAATGAAATACATGTTAGAATTACACAAAGGCTAACATCATACGGTACATGAACCAAAAAAAATTTTGCAATACCAGCGAAGTAACACTGTGCAACGATTACCTAACATTCTCAAATCACCAGAGCGAAGAGAAATAAAAGAAACTGGTTTAGACAGTCCATCACGTAAACCAAAAACACCTCAAAATATTAACATATAAAAAAAAAGATTTTCAGCGGTCTGGCTACGATAGTCAAACAAAGATGCTTGACTCCATCCTTTTAGTTTTCTTTTAAATATTGTTTGGGATGTTACATTCATAAGGGATTCTGGAAGTTCTTTAAATAAGGAAGGAATATAATGATCTTTATATTTCTTACCATACAATGTGTATATTTTCTAAATAACATACCTTTTCAGTAAGTCTCAAATCTCTACTTTCAATTACGGCAGTTTTGTATGAATTACTGAAATAATCATTCGTGATTACTGCGTATCTAAAAAACTAGAAAAAAAAATGCCCAACTCTTTAGCTTTTTCCTAAGTTTCTAATATTTGGTGAGAAGTTCCATATGCTGTGTTGTTTACCATGTGTTTGAGTACTCTATTGCTTTTGTTCTGTATTCTGAACAACGACCATAGAGTGTGATGCCGTACTGTAGTGCAGCTTTCGTTGAAGCTTTAAACACAAGCAGTCTTATCTTTAGGCGGCTGACACTTAATTTTATATAAATGTGCAGATATGACCTAATTATAACAACTTGTAAGAAATGACCTAATCAGAATTTGATATTTTGCCATACCTTTCATTCTAGAGGAGATACTTGAAGATATGTAAAATATAATTTCAAATGTGATAAAAAAAAAAAATCATGATCCATTTTATTTTGTGGAGGTAGATGACCAACGAAGGTGTTAGCACACGACACAGACTTGCCACAGAATTTTGAAGAAAGGTACAAACACATTTGTTGTCTTGATCGGTGTTCATTGTGATGAAAGGTAGGCACACACATGTCGAGGACTATCGCCACCCCAAGGAGCCGGAGGAAACTAGGCGCTATGGGACTACCACCCGGTGGAAAGAAAGAAAGCTAGGCATGCAAGCGCCTGGAACAACGACAAAGAGAGGGCAGTGCGAGCCCTCTCTGAGTTTTGTTGGTGCACAAAAAAAATCCATGGAACAATCACCGTAGACTGCTTCGATGTAAAAGAAAAAAAAAAAAAAGAAAGAATTTAAGGGCCCACATTGTCTGTTAAAACAAGCAAAAAGAAATACTGGTGATCCTTCCGAAACCCCCCTTTCTAGCCACTAACAGGCGTTTCAAAGAGCCGGCTCTTGAGATGTCCCCAAGCATTTTCGTTCGTAACTGGCTGCAAGCAACGTTTACTCTGGAGTCACTGTGTGGTTTGCTAGTGCGAGGGACCACCTTCCCCTCTATCTAGTGATATGAGCACTGCAGTAATTTCACAAACTTCTTAGGTATGACCTATTATTTTTAGCTTAGTGTAATATATCCAAATGGCTGTGAAGTTCAAAGTTACTGTATTTAGATGAAACAAGACCACTTCTGCATGTTGAAGAAGAGCTTGAAAATATCTCCTATTTCCCTATCGAAGTGCTGGAGCGATCAACTATTCTTGAAGCAGCAGCTCTAGTCAACAGTTGCCTCTGCATCAATTCCGTCCCGTGAAACTCGAATCTCATTATAATCGAATCTACCAACACAGAAACCGCCCAAGACGTACCATAAAACAAACAATATCTGTGTTTCATGAGGGTGTGAAATTTAGATATTGCCATCATTGTCTTACCACTACCATCATCGTCATCATAGTTAATATTAATCATCATTGTTAGGGACCTCATGAACACCCTTAGCCCAGGGCCCCAAAGTTCTTTAATCCGGTCCCAACCGCAACTCTGAGGAAGTGTAGCGAACGCTCGTGCTGCAGAACCCGGGGATCCTGGGTTCAATCCCCACCCCCGCCCGTTTCACTCTGGATGAGCATCGTACCGGCAAGCGTTCGTGTATCACTACTGCATTGTGCATTTTAAAGACCCCAGGCTAGCGGTCGTACTGCACCAGCTAAATTTTTCACCTATGGCGGAAATACCAGACGTCCACTGGGGCTGACTAACGCATGGCAGAATCATAATTACTTTTACGGGGGCAAAGATGAGTGGATAGACTGAAGGCCTGCAACTGGAAGCTTTGTGGCCTGAGTTCTGGCATAGGGTTCCCAGCAGTCCACTGGTACTTTGATCTAGACCCAGAATTCCTCAGGCCTGCAGCTTTTCTCGACGCTGGTAAAACGTTTTTATAGTTTGAGCTTAATTTATGCGTAGTTGTGCCGTGTGTTTATGCATGCCCATGAGCTAATTGTTCCCATGTTGCTCTGAATGCTGTGTAATAATGTTGACATAGTTTGTAAGCTTCCGAACTGCGAGACTTGAGAGGACGGTGGTTTGTAAGCTCATACTCAAAGTAGTTAAGGGATCTTGAGATTAACAAGTTTGAGAATTCCTGCTTTGTTAAAGGTGTTGCCATCTTACAGTTTACTTGATTCTAATTACTTTTTTCCTGGTAAATTTTCGCTCAAAAAAGGACTAGGGTCCCTGCAGCTGGCTATTTCTTGACAGTTTATGTAGTTACGCAGCATATAGCATCAACTTTCAAAATGGCTGCTGTCCTATTTTTGTGAGTTTTCAATAGAAAGTAGCCACAGAACGAAGCTGCATTTTTGTCTGTCGTGATGGGCGACGCATGCTCCCGTGTCAAAGCGTCTGGAAGTGCACTCCTCCACCTTATGTGTGCATTGCGGGAAAACGAAATAATGCGGAGCAGCAGATATGCACTTTCTCCAGCTGGTGCAGCTGGAAAACACGTCGTGAAATTTGAGGCATAGAAGCGTCTGTTTGTAGTATCCTCTTCTCTTTATATCCCTCCGTCTTCCTGATCTTGTCTTGGCCCATTCTGGTCTTAGTATTTTTTCTCTTACATTACATGCTTCACTGACACTGTTCTTTCTAGTAATACGAAGTTATTAATACTGTGCACCCAAGCTGCATTTCGCTTTTACATGGTGGTGTTGTTCTACCCAATATTTTTAAAGCGCAGCACTTAGATGCCTGTTTCCGGCTTGAGTGGTGTTGCCGTCGGCCTAATTGCCCGTTGCATCATGGGACGTTTCCCATAATGACGTCGTACGTAACGTCACGTGTGACATCACGAGGGCCATGAGGAAGTATGAGGCGGAGGAAATTTTTACGCTAAATTTGTCAGCAAAAAAATTTCCGTTAAATTTAGCTGAATTATTCCCCACTAAATTTACCTTAAAAAAATTACCCTTTTAATTCAGCGGAAAACTTTCCCCGCTAAATTTAGCGGAAAAATTTCTCCACTAATTATAGCGAAAAATTCCCCGCTAACTTTAGCAGAAAATTTTTTCTGCTAAATTTAGCGGGAAAATTTTTTCCCTATATTTAGCGGAAATGTTTCCCCGCTATATTTTGCGAAAAAAATTCCCCGCAAAATTTAGTGGAAAATTTTCCCCGCTAAATTTAACAGAAAAATTTCCCCGCTAATTTTAGCAGAAAAAATTCCCTGCTAAATTTAGCGGAAACATTTCTCGGCTAAATTTAGCACAAAAGTTTTTCCGCTGAATTTAGCACGTAAATTTTTGCGCTGAATTTAGCAAGAAATCTAGCGAAAAGACCCTGCTGAATTTAGTGTAAACATTTTTCCGCTAAATTTAGTGGAGAAGAATTATCTGCTAAGTTTAGAGGAAAAATTTCCTGCTAAATTTAGCGGAAAAATATTCCCCTCTAAATTTAGCAGAAAAAAATTCCCCGCAAAATTTACCGGAAAATTTTTCCCTCTTATTTTAGCTCGTAATTTTTTCCGCTGAATTCAGCAGGAAATGTAGCGATAATTTCCTGCTAAATGGTAGGGGAGCAAGAGGAGAGGAGGGGAGGGGAGGAGGGGCATACACTCTCCTCTTCTTTTCCAGGAGCTGCGCTCTAATTCAGCATTACAGGGAGCTGTAAACATCTTTCTTTTTTTTTTACAACATCATTCGTATTATTGCACAATTTTCGGAAAATAAGCCTACAGGTGGAGATGGTGAGGGCAATTTTTATTAGAAATGAGTCACTACGTCAGATTTTTGGAACTTCCAACTTTTGACTCTCTCATGTAAACTGTTGTGACAATTAAAAAAAAATATGTCGAAAGCTGTGGCAGCCAGAAACGTCAACGAGGCCTTCATTATACGAGGAATTTCGCCCTCCCTCTTGCATTGTTGTGCCAGGTTTGTTTGTTGGTAACATCAGGCGCAGACAATTGGAGAGCCATGGGGTGGCTGAGATAAGGGACCATTCATGAGAACATGGAAACTCGCATAAGTCCAGTGACCGTAATTCATAGTGCAGTCTTAGATGTAAAATGAAATGAGACAGTCTCCTTGCCATGTCTCTTTTTAATATAACAAAGAGTCTTTTTTCTAAGGTTGTAAGATTTGACCCCTCCAAATCACCCCCCTGCCTATTGCACTAGCTGAGAAGGATATTGAATTTGAAGAAAGGCTGGGAAAGATTTGAATATGGGCATCTTCAAAATCTTGTGTCTAAAGTTTCTTTTGTTTTTATTAGTAGAAGTAACATACTTGCCAGCTAAAATTTTGCCAGAACTGTTTGATGCTGCACGTTGAGCGTGGGAGGGGAGGGGCGTAGGGGCGGAAATCTAGCGAAAATGACGTCATCCGCATTTTTTCGAAATAAAAGTGCTTCGCATTCATATGTACCCATTCTGAGGGCAAGAATTGTATTCTGGGAACAGAACACTAGTGTAGAATGCTGATTTCAACTTGGTTTATTTTTAAAAGGGCTTCAGCTTCCCTTAAGTTCAAGCATACTTTCTGCTCCAACCCATTGTTGCTGAGCAGTGGGCGTGCCCTATTGCATCTGCCTATGTTGCTTTGCAGCACTGTACGCTGGACTATGGCAGCTACACCAAAGACCTTTCGGCCATCACGCAAGACTTGTCAAGCATCTTCATCCTGGACAACTCGCCTGGCGCATACCGGTCCTACCCAGGTGAGGGGCCTCCTGGCTGGGATCCCTTTAGACATGTATTCCGAGCAAGGTAGCATTTCAGAAATCACAAATCACTTCTTGATTGACCTCTAGTATTGCAAAAGCTTTCCTGAAGTAAACTTCGTTTCTTTTTTTTTTTTTCTTCAAAGTTTCTGTCTAATGTTTGTTGCTGATGGATATGGTTGACTGTATAGCTCAACGGCGCACGACACAAAAGCACCGATGGTACAGTGCACGACACGAAAGTACACGTGCACGCTGTGGAAAATTTTGAGGACGATTTTCGCAACTATAAAGCTACCTGAGGGGTCCCTATTCAGTAAAGAAGGCAACATACAAGAGGTCGTCTTCTGCAGGCTCGGTGCAATTGTTAAAACAATTTTGCGCTCATTTTTTTTTTTTTCTTTTTAGAAACTGCTTTTGGAAATTGGTTATGTGATGATATCCTGGATATTCCAAATAAAATCTCGCTTTACGTTTTCAGTGGTCAAACTTTATTCGAGGGTATTTGCTGCTGACTTCGTGCGACGACTCGAAAATACCCCCAAAGAAGTAGCCCAAGGCATGGACATCATCATATTTTGATGCCAATTACAAACAAATAGCCCTATGCCTACCACAAAAATATTGAAAAAAAAAAAAATATTTGAAAATAATGATTTTATTTTATGTGCCCTGTGAATTTAATATGCAATACAAAGGCCAAAAACCAATGCCAAAAAAAATTATTATATGAGGAATTTTTGAACACACTGAAAAAGAAAAGGAGACTGAACTTCGGCTTCACTGCATTACCGCGGACAGTTCACATCACCTTGCACATGGACGTTCAGGCCGGGCGTAGCAGTACTGCAGACAGTGCACATCACCTTGCACGCAAAGTGAACGCAGAATGTGGAGGGGCTGGAGGGGGATTTTTTACATTGATTCTAGTCCAATGCCGACACGCCGACACGATTTCCTCATCGGAATCGGAGTCATCTGAGCTAGAATTTAATAACTCAGTTGCATCGCTCTTGCTGTCCGATACAAGATCCATTTCCTCGTCTTCCGAATCTGAAGAAGAGACGTCACCATATCTTCGTTTTTGCCACAATTTTCAGGCATGATCATCACTATGAATGCAGTGACCAGGAGTTGATGCTGCTATTTTTAAACCCCTGTTGCCTGCGTTGAAACAATTTTCTGCCAAATTCAGAGATTTACCGCTTTTGTATTTTCCGTGAAGTGCCATCTATCCACGGCAAAGCTAACTAGAAACACGTGGACTAGCCCAGTTTGTCCATGGTAGCATATTGGAGCCCGAATTAAGATGGACGAGCCCAGCTCCTCTTCAAGGGGAGCGGCACAAACAGTGTAGACGAACCCTGGTCGTGCATGGTTGGGAAGGGGTCAATAGACCTGTTCACTAACCCCATCACAAGACGGGCAAGGGGTTGCAAAGCAAAAGGCTCGAGGTACACCTAAGCACTTCTTATGAGTTGTGAATGTGAACGCACGCATGCCGTTCTTTGCTCCTTTCTTTCATCTGCGGCTTACAATGCGCTGACCTTGGGCGTGGGACTGTGGAGCCGCTACCTCGCGGACACGCAGCGCCTTCGGGTGAGCGTGTGCCTTGCGGCGCAAGGAAGGAACAGACAGCAACGTAGTTCCCAGCAGAACAAACCCCTTGGTTTATTCCATGCGCCGTATTTATTGCCACGCGCCGTACAACCGATAAGAGGCGAGCGAACGCAATGATCAGTGATAACACAACAGTGTGAGCACACAGTCGGGATGACACTACGCAAACTGACGCGTAGCGGCCATTGGGAACCTCGTCGACGTGCGCCCGCCAATGGGACTGAAGTGTAAAAGGTGCCGTTGGCTAGCTTTGTGTGTGGTTTCGTTAAGGTGCCGTTTTGCATGGTTTCAAAGCTGATGACGTCGGCTCGCTCCATGAGACAGTTAATGATTTCGCATTAAAATAAATACCGGCCAACATCGTCCCATACAAAATGGTCCCGGACAGAATTGCACACCAGATGAATCTCGGAGGCTACGGTTTTATTCTGCCATCTTTCCAACGCATTGTACAATTTCGTCCTGCAGATATCTGCTGTTGCCAATTTAAAAAAAAAATATATTACCCATTTATTGGCCTTGATAGCGCTCTCGTGTCGTGCGCCCTCCCGTCGGCGCTCTCCTGTCATGTGCTGTCGAGGCGCTCTCCCGAGGAAAGAGGCACAAACTGTGTGGGATGATTTTTTAATTTATTAAACAGTTCTGTATTTTGTAAGTGGAGAGCCCGTGTAAATTGGTAGCAGACAAGTAGAGATTTTAGCATAGTTGTAAACCCGAGACTGGGGATACGGACAAGGGACAAAACACAGAACGACACGTGTTTTGACCCTTGTCCGTATCCCCGGTCTCGGGTTTACAGCTGTGCTCAATCTACACCAGCTAGCCTGCACCCTCACCATTGCTTCATTAAGAGATTTTAGACTTGGCCGTAATCTTGAGGGCAGTGCGGTTGCTGTGGTCGTAAAAAAAAAAATGAGAACGACGGGGCATGCCGTTCGAACACCCGGTCTGTAGCGTGCACTCCGTGCCTTCTACCGCGCCTCGGTTGCGTGTCGGTGAGTGTTGGCGACAAGGTGTTTTGATGGTTCCTTCTTACAGTTCCTATTTGTGACATTATGACCAGAACTATCGGCCAGCAGTGTACGCAGTATTTCCTTTTTTTTTGGGGGGGGGGGGGGGGGGGGAAGGGGGGGGGGCAAGGGCAAGGGGGGAAGGGAGGGAGGGAGGGGGGCTGAAGTGAAATAGTTTGCCCCCCACCCAAAAATAAAAGTAATATTGAAGTTCTCTTTTTTTTTTTGCAAAAACTTTATGTAGAGTTATACCTGAAACTCGTATGATCAGCCTGCCACTAAGCTTAGAGTGGAAATTGTCGGGTTCCAGCGTCTTTAAAATGTGAACTTTTGTGAATGAACATCCTTATACACATGGCAGTGTAGAGTTATACCTGAAACTCGTATGATTGGCCTGCCACTAAGCTTAGAGTCGAAATTGTTGCATTCCAGCGTCTTTAAAATGTGAACTTCTGTTAATGAACAGCCTTATTACACATGACGGATGGTAAAATTAATATAGTTACCGTACCTCGCCGTCATCTGGTTTTGCGCCGTCTGCCGCTTCACAGTGACGGTTTGCAACTGAAGCTTTAGGCTTGAAGCTTTAGGCGGCATATTTTGGTAGGAGGCAGATTTCGGAAAGGGGCTAGAGTGGTGCCAATAACCTTGCAAGCTTACACCTTAACCCTGCCCAATCAGTATGAAGAAAGCAGGACTATGCCTCTACTGTGAACCTAACCTCCTTGACAAGAAAAGATGAGCACACGCGTGGTTGACCACTAAAACTTATTCTTTTAAGCAGTGCAACGCATGTCTGTCTCGCTCGTTTCGATGACGGCTGGCGTTGTGATCACTTCATTGATTTAGACCACCATCTAGTCTAAAATTACATGAATGAAGGCAGAGGAGCACAGTGTCAAAAGATGGACGAATGTCCTTGTCCCGGACCAGCAGCAGGAACACACGTGCGACAAACAAAAGCAGCGCATCGCACTCACTGCCCCACGCAGGGGAAGGGCGACCCAGGTTTGCAAGCTAGAGTCAGAAAACGAAAGGGAAATGGGACTTCGCCTCAAGTATCAAACAGGGAGGCGCTGCGATTGAACTTGACCGTGGTGGGGCAGTGCTGTCGTTCGGTGTTTCTAATGTCGCTGTGGAAGGTTGAAAGAAAAAAAAAAAGGAAAAAGAAACAGAAGGAAGAGAGGTGCTTGCACTGGTACTCGAATGAACCACTGAGCTAACTTAACAGCAGTGGTGCTGAGCTATGAAAGAGAAAGGAAGAGAACAAGAGGAGGGTGTTTGCTTTTGCTTGAAACTTCATTTTCGCCAATTGTTTGTTGATGCATTTGTTTCCTCCTTCGAAATAGTGAGACCTTTTTACTTTCTGACAGTGGAGGGAGAAGGACGAGCCTTGGAAATAATGAACATTAAAAACTTCAGAAAAAAATTAAGTAGAAAAGGTTTGATTCTTCTATCGTTCTTTTATGTGGACGGGTTCATCTAAGCCAGGGGTCTCAAACACGTGGCCAGCGGGTTCTTGCGACTCGCTGGGACGCGGCCCCCAAGTATCAAGTGGCTCCGAACCTTTGTTCCCGTGTCTCAAGCGGTACATGCGTCATAAGTACTGGTCTCATGCCGCCAGTTTATTTGCGCTTAAAACGTAGCTCTGCACTTGTAGCGTGTTTACAGATTTTTCTCTGTTCTGTTTCTTTTGGACTCAGTATTCTTTTGCCTTAATTTTTGCTTTCCAGCTCTTCCTCATGTTAATCACCAGTACGGAAATCTCACTACGTCACTACACGTGCAAACTCTTTAGAATCTGCCCTGCCTGCATGAACACTTGCTCAGGAGGAGCAACTTCAAAAGATAGAGCTATGAGCTTGGGTTTCTTGAAGTCGAAAAATAAAGAATTGTTTAATAACGCTGCTACCGAAATTGTCAGACAAGCATAAACAATTGTATGAAGTTTTTTGTTTTTTTTTCAAGAAATGTTGCTCTTGATAATTTCATAGAAAATTGAGCGACATGGCAACAAGAGTGTGCTTGCTCTTTTTTTCTATTGACAAGTGCAAGTAAGTGTGGTGTAATATTACATTTTGTCATCACATCCGTGGGGGGCCTAAAGTAGTCACATTAGGAAATCAAAGCTGAAGATGCACGTTTGCGAAAAGCAGAAAGCATGGGGTCCCTTCTCTAGAAAGTCTCAGATGTGCCACTGAGAGACTTCTAACTCTAACTAAATCATAACACTAACTCACCACTAACTACACTAAACACTTAGCTTAGCGCTAGTGGTTTAGCACCACTAGATTTTAACCAAGAACATTTCCTATAGCATCACAATTGCAGGGCGATTTGCGGCACATTTTCTTTATGACTGTTGTCTATTCATCTGGTGGTCTGCAGACACTGCGAGGGGATAGCAGATGTCCTGTTAGTCAGTGAAGCGGCATCCACAATATTCGCAATTTCAAACTCATGCTGTCTTTGCCGTACCACTAAGTTTTCCGTGCTACACTTAAGGCTGTTTCACACATTTGCATTTGACTGCGCTCAAGTGCATAGTATTCTCTTTGTCTTATGATAAGAGTACACACTGGCACCATGTATCGGACAGCCCCGGAACAGGGTATAGCTATACTGAAGATTTTGCGGTCTTCACGTCCTCTTCTGGCTCCTTAAGCAGCAGTCACTGTTCTCGCCCTGCAGACAACGCCATCCCGATCAAGTCGTGGTTCTCGGATCCGAGGGACATGGCCTTGCTCAACCTGCTACCCGTGTTGGATGCGCTGCGCTTCACGAGCGACGTGCGCTCGGTACTCAGCCGGAACCTGCACCTGCACAACATGTGGTAGCACCCTCGCTCGTCTGTGGCCTCCTCCGACCCTCCACTCCCGCTCTCTCTCTCTTCGGCCTGCACAGAGAGAGGAGCGGACGACGGCGCTAAGACCATGGCCCCCGGCTTTGGATGAGACCCTTCGTCCAGCTCGCGAAAGGAGGAGGAGGAAGATGATGAAGCCGACGGATGCAATGCCCCCGTCTCGCTTCCCGCAAGCGAGCTGTTGTCGCAGCGAAACAAGTCGCCACTGTTGCTCCGCGGACAGCGGGTTTCGTCTTTTCTTGACGGCCCTTTCATGTCTTCATTTTGTTTGTTTTGTTCCCAATTGTGTTGTCTTTTTTTTTGTCTCTATCAAACCATTTGTGCCGCGTCAAGGACGGGTGGCTCGCTTCCCGAGGGAGTGTCGGTGCCCCAATTCTCGGCGTCTTAAAAACGGTACCGTGTCGTCTGCCGAACGAGTCGCATGTCGCTCGACCCGCGTGGTGTTGGAGTTCTGCCTCATCTGCTTCGCGGGTGGCGGGTCCCGGGGAGTGTCGCCGACGGATCGTCGCCAAAGAATTGCGCCGTCTCGTTATGGGGCGACTTAAGTGAGAACGGATGGTCGCGGGCCCGGACGATGGAAGTACCCTTGTCGATTCGACGTGCTGCTCTGCCGTCCATCACGGCAGATGCCTCCTCCTCTCTGGACGTCATCCACCAGTTCGCCACTGGTGCAGTTATTCCTACTGTTTCGCCAACATAAGGCTGACTGACGTACGCCAGTGTGGAACGGGTGGACAAGAGTGCAACGAACATGTTTTCTTTGTTTCTTTTTATTGAGCCTGCCCTTCTAAATTGTGAGCTCTAAACGGACTGAGACGCAAGGAAAGGCCAAGTTGGTTTACGCCCCTAACCTTTGGTGCCTCCCCACCCTTTTTTAGAATCTGTACTTTTCAAACGGCAAAAGCAAGGGTAATATCTGTGCATTGGTCTTGGGGTTTCGCCGTGTTTGGCCGTCAGTGCAGCCATTTGCCGGGCTTTTCCCATTGCCATACCGCACCTAATGGCAGGCTCGCATCAATAGGATTGCTGCCACTTTTGCTGGCGCTATCACTTAAAACACACTGGCTTTTACCTCCCCCTTCAGACCCTTTTGGTGCAAACGGTTTCCAAGGTGGTCCCTTGCACCGGATGCTCCATTGTTTCGCCTTGGTGTCTTTGTTTTTATTTAAGCTCTTCCATCGTTCAACCCACAGCATCGTCATTAATGTATCACGTTTCTTGCTTTGCTCTCTGTTGCGTAATTGTGGGAAATTTAAGCTGGGTTAGCACAATGCTAATGCAGTATTTTTGTTGTCCGTACTTTACCCTTTGCTTTGTCTGTTATGATTGTTCAGGCTCCATTTTCTGCAAAGCACTTGGGCAGAAAAAGTCAGGCTCCATTTTCTGCGAAGCACTCTGGCAGAAAAAGCCAGAACTTTCTCCGCCTTTTGTGCTGACTTCATTTCTGAGGGGCTGTGGAAGGTCCCACAAATGTTTGCTGGCAGGCATCTGAAATTTATCGAAACATTGCAACGTTCCCTTGGCAACTCATTTTTGTTTCGCTTCTCATTCTTCGAAACTGTTTTACCCGTCGCGCCGTGACGATTTGCACAGCAACCGGTGTTGATTTCACGACTGGTGATATTTTCACTGTGCATAGTTTTTGTTTTGATATATGTGTGTATGTTTGCACGGACGTATCTGTGCTCAAAAAGGTTTTGCTGCAACCTGATTTTTTCTTTTACTTTCTCGCTTGCCGTTGCTGTACTATAAGAGCTAAGTCATGCTAAGTTATTTTTCAGCCCAGTGTCTTTTGCACACTTGCTGAGTGGCAGTGCCTGCAAGAGTGGACAAAAAGCTGCTGTTTACGTTGTTGATTTTTTAGCTTTTGTTAGGTGTACTTGTTCCCATGGTTTGTGTGTTTTTTTTTTCTTCTGCTGATAGCAGTTATGATTGATAATTCTTTGAGCAACATTTGTTCCGAGACCTTACGATTGATGTGCCTGGCATTATTATTGCTATTACATTGCACATATGGATGGAGGCGCCTTTCGCTATGTTTTCCCAATTGTATATTTTGTACATAATGTACACAACACTTAGATATTACAATAACTGAGAAAACAAAAGTATGGCTCAAACTTTTTTCTGTACAAACGGTCCTGTGATTGTACAAAAGGAAAACAAAATGTGAATAAATTGAGCAAAGCTTTGATTGTTTGATTGGTCTCCTGTTCAATTCATATATTTTGTTGCTGGGATCCTTACTTATTAGGGAGCTTTAGAATAACGCACGCTAAAGCTTTGCGTACGCAAAGAATAGCGTCGTCGCCACTGTGCATGAGCCGAACGCTAACCATGTTTGCGCTTTGCGTGTGCTATTTTTCAGAAATTGCATGCGTGGGCAAAGAGCGCTCCTCTAAGAAGGAGTCATGATAAGTTGGCTAAAGTCAAGACCTTCTTGAGACGAGCACAGTTGAAAAATGGCGGCTCCCAGGACCATGGCTGTGGCTACAGAGGCTGGAATACTATGGCCGCCTTGGCCAACGTTAGCCTTGGCGACGTCATGAGCGCGACGTCGACGGCATCCTCGCGACTGCGATTTGCAATATGGGATGACATTGCACTTGGTTTGGAAAACCCAGTAAGGTGGGCAACGATCACCGGCAACTTGATGCTTGCGACGCGCGAACATTTCTCGGCGAAGGTCAGTACTCGAGACCACAGTGCTCGAGACCTCTTGCCGAAATGTTACTCTGGACCAAAAAACTTGTTTTTCCTCAAGGTACACCATTTCGCGTGTGATATAAAAATTGTTACTGTATCTTGGTGGCCTTGCAAGCTCGAGATGGAAAAGATTTCAGCATTATGAATGGTTTAAATCGTTAATAATGGATCACAGGTCTGATGCCTTCATAAGATAGTATTCTTGTAAAAAATGTAGCAAGATGGAAAAATAGAACCGTTTTGAATACTGAAAAAAAAAAAAAAAAAATAGTTAAAAGGATTAAGGATTTCAGAACACAAAGCTTCAGAGGTAGTTAATAAATGATTCTGCTCCTCTGTTTCATCGGTGTGAAGGTAAGTAATATAAGGAGGTGGTAATAAGAATTCTTCAGTAGTGTCGGTGTTAAATCTGGGCATAAACAGCCTGTCCATAATGAAACCTTGCAGAAATTCCGGTGTCTTCCCTGGCTTTCCCAAGCTCGTCGTCTGCTATACCTTGTCCACTATGCTACGTCACTATGCAGCCTACCTGGAAGACACCAAATAAATTCGTCGCTTATCAATGCACCAGTTGATTGAAGCGCCATCCTTTTCACACGTTGCGACCCATCGTCTCCATAGATTAAAAAATAGCCAGAGCACGCCAACAAGGTGGCGCTTTAGTGATTTGGTGATATGGGTTGGTATGCTCGTAATTTTTAGGGGTGTCACGAACTTTTGTCGAACCAGATTTTTAGGTCGAACTTTCGAGGTTCAACTAGGTCGAACCGGTCGACGAACCTTCGAACTTTGCACCAAATTCAACCGGTTCGACTTTGCGAACAGTGTGGCCAGACCTTGATATAAGCATGTCTAGGTTTGGAGAATTAATTTTTATGCAAAGGGTGATTTTATTTTATGAACAGTTGAAATTAAAAGAAACCAATTCTAATTACTAAAGAAGTTAATAACTTAAGTTTTTGTACAGTATTAACTAAAATAACCAATCAGCCGTGACCTTAATTTATCCCTTAGCCATTAGCATCCAATCCGAAGCCAACTGGCCAGCCTGTCGCGCATGCGCACACGAGTCGAACCTCCTCAATACAAGGTTCGTCGAAATTTCCACAAAAAGTTCGAAAAAGTCGAACCTGGTCGAATTTGAACCTTGGCCGGTTCGCGACACCCCTAGTAATTTTTAGCTTCTGCAAGGAAACATCTTTAAATTTTCCAGCTGACAATACCTGTAAACCTTGAGGCTAAATCAATAAACTCTCATAATCTCGCGTAACCATGACTTCGACGAAGCTGTCACGTTTATGATGTCATAGCATAGTTTAATTTTGTAAAGAGTTATAACTCTAAAGCGCGAGTCACAACTCTTTAAGAAACGAACGCACTACACAAAGCTTCGAGCGCCCATTGGACAGTGGTCGCCACATGGCACCAAAACTGACCAATTGGCGCATCCGGTTCGCGTGCGTGCCCGCACGCTCGGCTGTCGCGATCTCGCGCAGCCTCGCGAGCCGCGAGACGCCCGAGACTCGAGCAGAACAGCCCGTGTTGAACAGCCGACGAAGTCTGCAACCTCGTAGATTTTGTCTCTCTTCTTGGTCCCGGGTAGGTATCTTTGATTTGACCCCGATTGCCAGTTACCTCCACGGACGAAACTTTTAACTCACCCGAGAACTCCAACGTCGGGAGCACGGGTCTCTAAACTGTTGGTCCCGCCGCGATTTTTGCTTCGCAGCCAATTCGAAGAGGCAGACTGGAGCGGCAAGCATAGCAGCTTTTTCACAGGACGGCCCCTACGGACACAGTACGGTAAGCGAGCGCTTCCTTTCCGCACGCGATGTTGACTACGCGAGCGCCGACAGCAGCTGGCGATGACGCGTCCGGAGCTGTCGATGCTCGGCATCTTTATCGAGCCGAGGCTGCGGCAGTGTCAGGTTGTGGTAGCCTTCTCTGGCGTCGTCCGAGGACCTCGCTGACACGTCGACGGATGCGAGGGGGGGTCAGAATAGGCCTAGATTTGTGTGCCTTTTCTCGGAGGGCTTTCAACGCCCCTCGACGCCGTGTCGGTCGTCGCGCTGGGCCGTGATCGTGAGGGCCATTGGCGATCCGAGCTGTCCAACCCGTGGGACGAGCCTCGGCACGAAGAGGAAGCTAGTGGCAACTGCTCCGGCCACGTTGGCATGTTGTCGAGCAGCGGCACTCGCCGTGCCAGCCAGACTTGCAAATCCGGTCTCATCGTTTTTGATTTGGAGTTAGCGGACGAGAGGGGGGCTGGATGGAAGCTGAGGAATTTTTTCTTGTCGCGTCGAAAGGAATTTATCGTGCGGCTTCTCGCGAGCCTGCGCGTGCTCGTCGACGCGCTTGATCTCGGTCAGAAAATATCGTCGTCGGTGACCCTGCCAAGTCTGGCAAAGCATTGCAGTTTTTTTAACACCGGTTTTTGGGCCGCTCCGACCGGGGGCGTTGGTATGATTCGCTCGGCAGCTCCGAGTACGTCTCTGGCGTGTATGATATATGTTTAATCCGTTTTATTTTGTATTTATTTATTAGTTTGTGCGGCGATCTCGCATCGAGGTGAGGGAGTCTGCGCTGGGCGTCTTGTATCTCTTCTTGGAGAGGATTTTTATCGCGATCCTCGTTTGGGGGAGCGTGTCACAAGTGTGGAAATTTTCCTCTTTTTTTAGTTTTTGGTATGTTCTTGGGGATGTCGTTTTTATGTGTTTGGTCAGCGCGCAATAGACTGCCTTTGACGCTAGCTCGGAGGAGGAAATGTCAGGTCGGGAATTATTCGGTGATTGAATGCCGATTTGATTCAATCTTGTGCGTCGTTTTGGTGACTTGCAGCACGCTGTAGTTATATCTCCGATTTTGGTAGCCAAAGCTGTCCCGCCCGACTCTTGCAGTTTTGTTTTGTTCTTTTTTTTATTTTTGCGGCGCAAGCAGAGTGCTTGGTTCTCCGCATTTCAACGTGGGAAGCGAAAATTTCTATCTAATCTGAAGTGTTTTTGGAGCGGCTTTCTTGCTCTGGCGAGTTTGGAAACAGTTGACTTGGGCTTTCCAACCAAGGGAGACAAAAATTCCGAAGGTGATGCCTTTACAAAGGGCGCGCGTATGGATTGCGACGAAAACTGTGACAAACCCTTTATTATCCCTGAACAACCAGTGCAGACTGGATTACGAGGAAGCCCTACACACCTGAAAGGGTGTGGGTGCGGTGCAGATGCGTTTGTCACGAAGGATGTGGAAGTATCAACATTCTGTGTGGTCACAATATGTTATTAATGAAGAAAACACTAATTGCATCATCAATATTGCTGCTTACGATGTATTTTAATTTTTAATGCAAAGTTTGGCTGACTTCTTTTTTTTTTTTTACACTGTAGTATCAACTATTGCACACTTGCCTGCCAGTCTTTGAAAGAGCTCTGGCGCAAACTAATGTCACTGAATCCTGGGAAAGTAGTGCGAAGCTCCCTGTATAGTTGCCATTTAGGCTCATAAAATGAGCAATTTCTCCTTGACCTCTCCATTCTTGGTGAGCCAATCTAAATTCGCTGGTAGCTTTGTTGAGGCGTTTCTCGAACACCAAGATTTTGTTCTCCGCACACCGACTAAACAAGTGCACATCTTTGTGCCGCCACCGCATACAAAGCCAATGTTTGGTGGCATCAAAAAATAATTTTTTTGTCTTTAAATATGCAAGAACACCAATACCATTGTAAGAGATCTGTGGAGGTAAGCACACTTAATAAGTGGATTTCGTGCACAATGCCAAGGATGCTTATATTGGCAAGGAACACAATTTAATTCAAACACTGTGTCAATAAAATCAAACTTTATGCAAAAAAAAAAAAAAAAAATTAGAGCAATTATGACGGCGAGAGGATTATTTGAAGTTCTGCACTGAAGTCCATGACGTTACGGAATGGTCATTTGCTCTTTCGACCTCAACGAGACGGTATTTTACTTTTTCCACCTCAACGTGAAGGCGAGACCGATCCATTCCTCCACGTGCCCGAAATGCAGAGAGAGAAAACAAGTGGAAAGGAGGTGACTACTGACTAAATTGCGTCTCGTGCCGTCAATATTGCTCTAGAAAAATTTTTTTTAACATGTAAAATTAATGTTTTAACACGTGTCACATCAAACCTTTAAAAAAAAATTTTTTTTTTTTTTGAGTTTTTTAAGGTTATATTATTTTTGGAAGTGCCAAGTTTAATTATGGTAACATAATCGGGGGGTGAGGGTAAGTTATATATAAGTTGGAAATTGCACTAAAAGCAACTTTGAATTTGGTGCCTTGTTTTTTGCCTTTTGATAGCGGTACCAGTAGACAAAAAATCGGAAGTAACGGTATATCCCAACATTTCACTGTTTTTCACCTGCAGCCAGCTGAACATAGCAGGTGTTTGTGTACGTGCACTTAAAAAGAAGGGAGCGGAGTTGTGCATTTTTTGGGGGCCAAAGGCCTGGAGACAAAGGAAGTGCATAGAGAAGCGCTTAGAATGGGTATGGTGGGATGTGCATTTCAAGAAAAGGTCATCCTTTGGAGGTTGCAACTGAGGCCACAATGCAGCAAATGGAGTTGATCCGTGCTGACATGCGCCAATAGATGTCAGAGCTGGTAGTTTAGGTTGCTTTTGTGGAACTGCCTTTAACATCATGCACAAGCAAAGTCCGTAAATGTTCTTTTTAATACACATCTTGCTTTGCAGCATGTACATTGACTTGCCTATGTACTGGTCACAGTCTTGCTCATCTTAATTTCTTCTTTGCCCTGATAATGGAAGACAATATACTTGTGCTTTGACAGTTGCCCATGTGCGTGTGCAGAGTTAACACTCAGGTGCAGTCCTTGCACTACTAAAGACAGGCCTCATGTATTGTCTGTTAGGGAAACGAGACAGGCACTCTGCTCTTGTCACTGACCACACAGAAATTACTTGCATCGTGACGAAGTGATTGCAAAAAGTAGCTGTACTTAATTATGCTAGATAGTTATTAATAGACCTGGGAGTTGATTAAAAAAAAATTTTGCCCGATGGATCGCTATCTTTCAATTGATTTATTAATTGGTTACGTTGGTCTTCGGACATGATATATAAGAGTGTCAAAACTACTTTTTAAAACTATTTCTTGCTATGTCTACAATGGCGGAATGCACATCCACATTCGAAACTTGACACCGTGCTGCCACAAAGGGGGACAAAAAAAATGGGCAAGCAATTTTAAGAATGATGCATCAGTGCATTCTTATTTAAATCTTACATTCACCCTGATCAGAGAATGCTAAAAGTCATTACTGTGGAGTATCAGAGTCCATCCTGCTAAAATAAATAAATCCCCGTCAAGTAGTGAAGTATGAATTGCTACTTTCTCCTAAAAATTTCTAGGTCAAACTCAAACCAGTCAACCCACTAAAGAAATAAATAATTGCAATTAAAGCATAAATGATTGATTGGAAGGTTAATCAATCAATTGCCCAGCCCAAGTTATTAAGGTATGCACCTGTTTCCCTTCTTTATAGCTTAGTTTATAGGAAGTATCTTAAACGCGTAGCATTTATAGGGCCAGCTTTCAACGCTGTTAATTTGTCCGAGCCCGGCACGTAGTCTTGATAAAGGTGCAGCTGCAATCAGAAACTGCTCTCAAAGCGAGGACTTTCCCCGGCATGTGCTCGGAGGCAACCTCGTTACGAAGGCCCCTGCTTTGTGGGCTTCCTGTTGGGTTTTGTTGCACCCTACAACGGTGGGCACAGTTGCCAGTTGAAGGGGAAGAGCAGGGAACGCAGCTGCAAAACAACCACGCCGGGCCTAGCAGCGGCAGGAAGCCAGTTCGTTGTCGACAGCTCAACTGACACTGGGACGAATGGCCTCAAAGCTTTGCGTGGGACACCTCCGGTTCTTTCGTTGTCATGAAAACTGTTCAACAGATGGATACTGGTTTCGGTTGAATGATGCATGCAGAAATATAGGATACTCTTCTCACTGCTCCCTGGAGCCTATCTTTAATTAGATTGCTTCTACGTCCAGTCAGAAATTTGCAGATTGAGGGACTGTTGTAGGGCAACTTCACGAAGCGAAGTTGCCCTTTAAAGGGCAACTTCGCTTCATTTTTGGTTTTGAAAAAACAATGCAGTCCTCTTCAGTATCGCCTAGGAAGACCACACGTGAAATGTTACGACGCAGTTCTGTCTAAATGTTTCTTAAACGGTCCGGCAAACTTTGCCGAAATCGGCTGACTTGAGCGGGCGAGTTCAGGTGCAACCAACAGCGCAGTCAAGGCTACGGCATGGGCGGAGCCAACATTGAGCTAAACGTCATTATCATGGCCCCCTTTTGCTTGTTTTTACTTCTCCGGGCGAGCGTAGCGCATGACGTCAGCAACGTTGCCTCTTGGCGCTCAGCGGTGTCCACGTTATTGGTGTAACGCGCCTGCGCAGAGCATTTCTTGGGAGCCGTCCGGCCACCCGCCGTGGTCCCGCCGTCACCGCCGTCTTCCGCGTCACACCCGCCGTCGTCGTCTCACCGATTGTGATTATTGTCTCTCGGAGTTTCGTCCACACTATGGACACCACGTGCGCAGACTTATGCCGCAGTTGTGTAGACGTCGTCGAATGCCGTAGACATCAAAACGTGGCGAAGAGTGCGGTGCAGACGACACTCGCGCCTGCCACACGCCCGCCCCAATCCTGCCCGTCGTTGGGCCGAGGATCACGTGACATCTCGTACCACGTGATGGCCATGTACTTGGCGACCCGAGGCCAATGTTGCCGGGCGGAGCCGAAGTTTCGGTTTCGATTTCCGCTC